TGATTTCAAAATGTCTTTCTGATTCTTTTCTGACACAGATCATTCAAAATCTTCATGTGAACGTTCTTACCTCTGGTAGGTTGTTTCTGTATGTGTCATGGTGCACAAGACCCTTTCAGCCTGATCTACATTAGCCTTTCTCCCTAATATTTCCCACCACTACTCCCACTGGTATAGCTAAACCAGTGGAAGCACTAATACAGGTAATGCAGTGACTGCCCGTGTCTTAACCAAGATGCCATGAAGACCTGCTGTGCGTAGCTAGTAATTACACTAGTGGAGCTGCACCAGTGGTAGTAATGGTGGGAATTTCAGGGAAAAGGCCAGTGTAAGTGCAACTTGAATACTTGGTAGTGTGCACAGTATGGTACAAGCTCAGAAGCAAGCGCAGTTGGTTCTTCATATGCCTTACCCTACATATTTCACCTTTTGATAGGTTCCCATTTGCACACTTGCACACCTGTAATACTAAAGAAGGAAACTTTATACCAGAGCTGTCAGAAAAGAAAGGTTGCAAATCCCCTCAGTATTAAAACTTATTTAAAGAAATAATTCATGAAGTTATTCTTAGCTAAGCCTCTAAGGAGCAATCCAGTTGGAGGGTACAAGGCTGTACGTGTCTCTCAGAGTTCCTCAGGTCTTTGAGGTGCTACTTGCAAGCTCCTGCCAGGCTCTGCTGCCTCGCTTCCCTCAGCCAGGTCTAGGCTGCTACCCATATTTGCTTCATCACTTTCCAATCTAACTATCACTTCCTGGTCCGGGTCATGCCTTCTGTTGGCTAATTGCTAATCTGCATTTGTGTCCATCCCTAGATATAACCTGTTGCCCAATTTTAGCCTGCAAATCATTTTGAGGGAGGTGAATGCTTACTAATTAGCCAAAAAGGCTGGTTACTACACCATGAATGTTTGTTTGGTTGGTTTGTTTTGCAAGACAAGGAAACAGAAACAGTGACAGATGTTAGTAGTTGAATGAAGTGATTATGGTTGCTCATTACCAAAGAAATGTGGTAATTTTTTCCCCAATTATCTTCAGTGTTGAACATCTTTTTTAAAACCTGTGTATTAGTGCATTAAACTATGCTAGTAATAGATTGGCTTTTGTAAAAAGCCATGTTGAAAATGTCTTTTTAAAAAATTCCTGATCATTTCTATCAATATAGATTTCAAACACCCCATAATAAAACTGTGCACTTGTGTATTGACTTCCACGAAAAGATTCCAATATGCTTTATGAAAATTAATTTGTTTTACCTCATATGGGTGTTGTGAGGCTAAGTATTAAAAATAAATTCACATTTAAAATAAAATGTTAGGAAAACTGTTCCATCTTCACTCACACGGTCAGTCCTGAGTTCAAAGTTCCATTTCCCCCCTTGCTTTGGATTTCAGAGTTTGCGATGTCTTCAGTTATTGTGGTGGAAACACAGACTCCTCACCCCAGGCTTGCTATGCCTGTGTCTAGTGGTCAGAGCAGATGACTTGCTGTGTGAGTTTGGGCAAATAGCTGAACCTCTCTGCATAATTTCTGTATATGTGAAGTGAGAATGACAACTAATGGTGTAAAATTCCTTGAAATCCTCGGATGACAGATTATACATGAGAGCATAATAAGTGAAAGAGCAGGTAGTTTTCCAGTTTTTAATTTTAAAATGTGTTTGTAATTTTGAGATAAAGATTCATAGTCTGTTAATTATAAAGAATCTTAAGCATTCTAATGCTTTGCAGTTCACCTTTAAGAACAGTGCTTTCCAAACTATAATCCGATACTTTCGTTGCATAGTTTTTGTACAGAATGAAAAATTGCTACGTGCAGAGACTGCCAGTGCAGAGCTAGAGAGGCGAACTTTATTTTTCATGCGTTATCAGTTCTTTAAGTAGTTACTAACTTAAACAATGAAATAATAATGTTAATCATTATAGTGCCAGTGTGTAGTATATGCTAAGTAATAGCAGTCTATTTAAGCGTATGTATGTTCAGTGTTCTTAGAAGTCTTGAGAATATTGAGATTTTTAAAGTATGTAGCTAGGCCCTCTACTGATCACACTGAGAATAGGAAAAGGGGAAAAGGAAAGAGTTAAGCTAAGGAAAAGGAAGAGCTAAGTATTGGTAAAATAGAAGAGAAAAAAGGTGTAAGAACAAGAGAGAAGCATTAGGAAAATAAATACGGCTATTCATTAAATATAACCACCAGGAAAGTGATCAGAAAATGATTCAAAACTAAAATAACAGCCATAATGAAGAATTAACCTGTTCTGAAATTAATTAAAAAAAACCCCTACCAATAAATCTAATGGCAAAAGGTCTCAGTCCACATAAAGGTCTGTCCCCAGACAGTTTGGAGGATTAGCACTTAAGTATAGTGGTTAAAATATGTAAACAGGAAGCAGGAGTTAGAGGTTCTGTTCCCTGCTCTGCCACAGCTCTCTGTGTGCCTCCGTTTTCCTGCCTGTTAAGAGCAGGGCCAGCTCCAGGCACCAGCTGAGCAGGCTCGTGCTTGGGGTGGCAGATTCTAAGGGGCGGCATTCCGCCCAATCCTTTTTGTTTTTTGCTTCGCCGCTCCGGCCGCCCTGCAGGTTTTTGAGTTTTTTTGCTTTGCCGCTCCAGCCACCCTGCAGGTTTTTTTTTCTTTTAGTTCGCCGTTCCGGCCGCCCTGTAGGGGGCAGCAGCGCGGAGGAGGGGAGCGCCCTGCTGGGAGCGGGCTGTGCACTCCATCTGCCCCAGCCGGTGCCAGGTCTGCAGTAAGCCCGGCAGCACAGCCCGCATCCTTCCCTGCCCACCGACCGGACAGCGCGGAGCCCTCCCGGTAGGCGGCGCAGTGGGAGGGGCCGCGTGGCAAGCGCCCCGCTGAAGGAAGCCCTGGCTGCCCCCCTTCTCTCTCTCTCTCCCCCCGCTCCCTCCCCCCGCTATCCGGGGCGCACACTCCGCTGCCCGGGGCACGTCTGCAGCGCAGGGAGTCCCCCTGCACCCTGGCTCCGGCCACCCACACGGGTTCTTTTTTGTTTTTTGGGGGTTTTTTTGCTTGGGGCGGCAAAAAAGCCAGAGCTGGCCCTGGTTAAAGGGTACAAATGTACTAAGCTGGCTTACCAGGGATCTTGAGAGTGAGGCTTAGCTTATTTATGTTTGTGAAGCAGCTTAAGTTCCTTGGATAGAAGAACGTCAGAGTATTTTTTCAATTTTCCCACAAAAAGAGCAAAAATTCTGAAAAAGATCAACTTTTGCTTCACTTTTCAGTGATGTTCTTTATAGCTTGTGGCATTGGTAGTGCTTTCAAAGCCAAGTTCTATAGACCGAACTAGCGCGGAAGTTTGCAGTGTTGTTGTAGACACATTGGTCCGAGGATATTAGAGAGACAGAGTGGGTGAGGTAATATATTTTATTGGACCAACTTCTATTGGTGAGACAGACACGCTTTTGAGCTCTTCTTAAGGTCTGGGAGCAGTTTTGAGCACTGGACTGGGATCTAGAAGATAAGGGAATACATCAGCTTCCATCTATGAGATACTTTTTTCCCTGTTGACCAAATTGCAATTTTTCTGTGTGCCCCAGACAGCAGGGAGGATTTTCCCCCTTGTTTTACCTCAAAATCCTGTTTCTTCCCAGCGGCCTTATGTTTGAGCCACCAGCAAAGTAGGACTGAATGCAACTCCTTTAGGAGCCTGTCACTGTCTCACCTTAAAACTGGGCAGAAGGTTAGCAGCACCCCTTTTTCCCAACCACCTGTGTGCCTTTAATTTTTCTTTTTTTCCCCTCTCCTTTTGGTGTTTTAGTTTTTTGTTTTAATAATAGCTTAAAAATCTAGAACTCCCAGTCTTTTACAGTTCATGTAGTAGTATTTTGTTTCACATTTTTTCAGTCAGCATGTGTGAGACAGAGAAGCAATATCAGGTGATTTCAGACGTTTACTCCAGAGTCTTGATGCATTTGAACTAAGGATAGGTCTATGTACTGTAAACCTTGCCAGATCTTTCAAGTTTAAAGTGTCTGCACAGGAGGTCTTTTAGGGTTAGTTAATCAATCCACTGGGGGAAGGAGCATTTCACTGAAACGCTCTGTTCTGAAGAGACTCCTGAGAGCTCTAAGTCCCTGAGTGATGCTTACGTAGCATTGAGACATTCCCTTGTCTCATTTTTGAAGATGTGGCTTATGGATACATCAGGGAAGGCTGTGTGATGTTGATATGATGGTGGGGGGTTTTTTCAGGTGTTTGAATCCCATATGAATTATGCCTCCACTGCATCCACTTGATCACTGACCTTGCCACCCTTCCCTTCTCCAAGCACCCACTGCCACCTTTTGTAACATCATAGACACTGGCTCTGGTGCACAGGGTAGGTTGAAGCACGACTGCATGCCTGCTTTGGCAACTTTCCCTCCCAAGTCATCACAAAGATTAAGTGGTGTAGTGGTCGAAGACCATAATACTCACTTCCAGAGGAACTACCACCAACTTCATCATTTTCCAATCTAACTACAAAGAGTGGGTCTTTGCCTTCACAAATAAAAGCACATAGCACACACATCAAAACAAACATACAAGAATTTTTTTCTTCTTGGGGATTGAGGAAGGGACCACACATGACAGATGTTAGTCATATTGCTTAATGCATTGTTGCAAAGCACTCAGATACAATGGTGATGGGCCTGGTATAAAAATTTGACTAGAATAGAGGGTCTTGTTGAGTCCTCTAGACAAGGAAGAACTTCCTCCATAGTACAGGTGCAATTAAGGATGCCCATTACATTCAGGTCATTTCAGTCGATATATGTAACTAGCATCCAACTCTATACTAATTCAGAAAATTAGATAAGAGGCGAGGCTGCATTTAACAGAGAAATTAATAAAGGTAAATAGTATTTGTAAAATCTTTTAACTTTACTGATGGTCACATCTATTCTAGCAGAACTTCTGTCATTTAGAGTCCATTACTCTTTACCCTCTCTTCCTTTCTCTTTCTCTCTCTTCTGCCCTCCCCGCCCCCCTTGTTTTATTTCCTTAGATCTAACTGGCTAAAGCCGTGCTGTGGGAGACGAGCAGCTGTGTGGCAGGTATTTTTGCTCAGTGCAAGTCTCAACAGTTTCCTGGTAGCCTGTGTAGTGTTGGTGGTGATTCTCCTGACTCTGGAACTCCTAATAGATATAAAGCTTCTCCAGTGTGAGTAGCAGGCTTTTTTAAAAAATTTGATCGAAGATAAATGATGTTTAGATTTAACTTGCTTGGGGGAGTGGGGTTGGTCATGTAAGTAGTTTAAAAGTTAGATAATGACCTTTACTGTACTGTTAATACAGTGGAACCCTGGTATAGTGAAGTCCTCCCCTTCCCCACAGAGCAAATTCGTTAGGGGACAGATTTTTAGAGGATGCAGGTAGAATTCACCTGCAAAAATGTGCCCACACCTTGTTTACCTGCAAAAACTGCACACTCCCATTATGATAACCTTATCCAATTTGCATACACCAGAAAACAGGGCATTTGTGCAGTCAAAAGGACACTTCTGTGATAGTTACCTAGTTGTCCATTCACATGTATGTATGCAAATAGGTGTGCATGGATTTTGCTGGTGCAGTTGGTGCTCTCTCCTTTAGTAATTTGTCCCTATAAACAGAGATTTGTTGGAACTGAAATTGCAATTTGTATCTGGCAATGCATTGAAACTATTAAGGCTTTCCTTCTACTTCACTAACATATTGTAAGACAAATAACAACAACACAAGTGAAGTTTTGTTATATCCAGGTTCACTCTACACAGGTTCCATGGTACAGGCAATTTTTAATTGTGTTGCTTTGCTTTCTGGTTGAGCTGTTCTTTCACTGTTCTCTCCCTCCATTCTTTTTTGCTTAGTCAGACAAAACTCATCTGAATGTAAGCACCAGCAACAAGTTTTCCTGGGCTAAATATTAAAGGTGCCCTTTAAAAAAGAAATTATGTAGAAATATATAGAAATAACAATAAGGGGTTTAAACACATCCACAATGGCAAAAAAATTTACTGTTAAAGATTAAGGAACTCTAGGGTGAAATTCTTGAGCTTGCTATTTGACTTCAATGGTTTCAGGATTTCATCCCAGTTTATGTAGTATAATGGAATGCTGTAAAGCAGTGATTCTCAACCAGGGGTCCAGGGCCCCTGGGGGGCCGGGAGCAGGTTTCCGGGGCTCCGCCAGTGTTACACTTGTTGGGGCCTAGGGCAGAAAGCCAAAGTCCCACTGCATGGGGCTGAAGCATGGGGCCCTGAGACCCGCCACCTGGGGCTGAAGCAGAAGCCTGAGCAACTTAGCTTCACGGTGCCCTCTGTTGCATGGGACTCTGGGCAATTGCTCTGCTTGCTATCCTTTAACGCCGGTCTTGGCAGAAACCAGTTATTGTGACACAGGTGGGCCATGGAGTTTTTATAACATGTTTGGGGTGGGGGGGAGGGGCTCAGAAAGAAAAAGGTTGAGAACCCCTACTGTAAAGGTAATATTAAGGGAGACACTAGTTAGGAGCAGCCTGAGTTGTTATTTTATTTTAAAAGCACTGTAAGAAGGAATGCTGACTGGGCCTTCTCCTACACCCTACCTGTATTTGATCTGGTCCCCTTATACCTCTCTATCTGCACACCTCAAACACTTATATGAAAACACCCCTTCCAGCCTCAGACAACCCCATCAGCTATTTGTGAGGCTCTGCTGTCCTTGCTAACCAAACTCCTCTGTGAACAGGGAAGTCAGAAGGCAGCACCAGAATGCATTCTTCTAAGTATTGCGGGTTATTGGTTATGAGATTCAATCTTTAGAGCTGAACTAAGAGAGGATCACAGACAAATTCAGTGATGGCACTTTGATAGGTGAGGTGCATATGCCTAAAGTTGCCACTGCTAGTAAAGCTAATGGTTGAATCCTAAACATTGGATTTATTTGCTTTTGTGGGTTTGTCTTAGACTTCTAACACTATTTTGGAGGGATTGCCTGCATTCTTTACCATTTGCTCCCCCATCAATACTCCTCTCTGAGGAGTACTGCATGTTACATCCTTCAGAGCCCACCAACCTCTACCCTACACATCAGCCAGAGAGGTTTGTGCCAGGCAAACAGATGGTACTAGGCTGACCATTTTGTCTCTGCACTACTCTCTACTCTTGCTGGCCCTGGGCGTAACAGACTGCTGCATGGCAATGCATTGCATTGAGACTAAACCGTCAACACACCACGCTTCTCATTATTTCATGTAGCTTTTGTTACATTAAATTCCTTCAGTTTTGTTCTTTAACCACTTATGGAATATATGGGAGGAGTTAACATAAATACTATAGTTCTGTGAAACGAAGACTGTACTTTTAACTTAATCTTTCAAAAGCCATTAGTGTGCAATTATGTTTTTTAAAAATGTAATTGTAGCATATAATGATTCCCTGTAGTATATGAAAGCAACATATACAAGTGTATTAAGGATATGCTATGGTACATCACTGCCAATTTTGTTTCTAATAAAAGCCATTAATCCACATTATAGACTGCAGTCACCAAGGAAATCTGTTTTTTAATGAGTGTTTTTAATGGTTTTGAATTACATGTGCAAAAATATTGTACAAAAAATCAGGCTTCTATGATTGCTAAAATCCCAGGGCAAAATTCTCCTCTCAGATTCTTAGTGCCGATTTCAGTTGCACTCTGCACTTGTTCAGTGGGCACAACTCCTTGTTGTCATCAATGGAAATTGTATCTGCAAAAGTGCAGATTATCCAAATGAGAAATTAATAGACCTTGAGTGAATTTAGCATGAAGCATATTTTATATGACAAACTCTATGTACATTAACTAAATAATCTCTTATTACCCCAGTAATGTACAGAAGTATTGTTATCCCTATTTTGTGGATGGAGAAATGAAGGTAGATTAAGTCACTTGTCCAGGGTCTGAGAGAAGTGGTTCATTAGCAGAGCCATGATTAGAATTCTTTAGTTTTTGACTCCTCGTCATCTCTAGACCATGCACCTCCATCTCTTTGCCAAACCACTTCCTATAGTGGTGGGAGTGACTTACTACTGCCCTTTTCCTGCGATTGGATACATATAGGCACATCTGTATACCTGCGTGAAGTCCTATTGAAATCAGTGGGGCTCCACACAGGTGCAAGAATCCACCTGCGTGTATCTGCTTACTGGATCTGGGCATATGTAAGTACTTGTATAGCTGTACAATGAACATGAATATAAAGATGAAACCATGCCTTAGTGGGAATTTGTTTGGCCTTATTTGTTGTAAAGGTTTGATCATTTCACAGTGTTAAAACAACAGTATGACAGCCCAGAAGAGAATTGCAGCATGTTTGAAAATGATTTTTAATGATTTTTAGAGGTGCTTAATTTCTACAGTTCCTTTCATAGGTACTGGAATTAGGGGTGCTGAGGCTGCGGCTGCACCCCCTGGCTTGAAGTGGTTTCAGTTATATACAGGGTTTACAGTTTAGTTCAATGGCTCTTAGCACCACAACTATAAAAATTGTTCCAGCCCCCCGTCTCCCTTTTGAGTACAGTGGGAGCTGCAAGTACTGAAAGCCTACCAAAAAAAAAAGAGTAAAGTCGTAGCCTTTGTCTAGTTTTTTTGTTTGTTTGATTTTTCTTCTTTTCTTTAAGAATGTTAATTTTTTTAAAAAGTTTACAAATCCAAGAAATTCAGAGGTAAGGCTGCACTTCTACAACAAGCCAGATTCACACAAATAGTAGCCTGTGACTCTGTCCCACTCGTTTGGACAATGTAGTGTTCTCATATTGTTTCTGAAACAATAATGTTGTTTCTACAGTTCAGTGTGAGGAAGTCTGTATGTTCAGTTGGATGTCTTTAAGGAAGAGAAGGCAATTGAGAGTGGTGGAATGTCGACTCGGTTTATGGGACATTGATTCAGCTCTTGTTCAGGAACTTCTTGCCTGGAAGGTTATTTTAAACTGTTTACTGTTGATACCACTCGGGCACTTTAATTGTGTCACCATCCTGCAGTATATCCAGCAGTCTTTGCTGCACATATTGCAATATGAGAAATCCATTTCTCCCCACCCCAAATTCCCATATGTTATACCTCGCTTGCACACTAGGGGGCAGTTTGAGGACTGCATGTCAATGGATTGCTATTAGAATGTCTCCCCACAAATGGATTCCCCCCCATTTCCCAGCCTTGCCCTATTGTTTAGGCAGTGTGTTGGTGAAATTGTGGTATTGTCTGCTTATTTCTTTTTTATTAATCAGTAATTGTGTATCTGCTGAAATTCAGTGATACCATACATGGCAATTTCTACTGACCCCCTATTACCATATCTTAAGGAATATCAGTGGCAACTAAATTGATGTTATTCCTTGAATCCTAATCCCCCTCCCCTCCCATTATTCTGCTACAACCTGGCATCTTCATGCACACAAAGATGCCCAAAACATTTTTCCGTTGTGCGGTAACTCAACCTATCTTCTCAAGCAGTTTTGATCCTTTGTAGACAAGCTCCTAGGACCTGGGCAGCACACAGGATTTGGGGGGAGAATTTCTTGTCTCCTTCGTGTTTTTTTATGAGACTGCAGGAATATGAACTTTGATACAAGTACTGAACACGTCCTTTCAGTGTTCTGCTTTGCTATGTGAACAAAGCTCTCCTCATCCTGGACACCCACCATGTGCAGATAGCCTTGCAGCTGAACTTTTCCAGAAAGTCCTCCATGTCTCAAAGGTACATTAACCCTTTATAGACAACCCAGGCCTGAATCTTTCTGGCGTGGTAATACAGTGGTCCTCAGTGGGGTAACACAAAGACAAACTTGGCAGTTTGACAGCTATATGCTTACTGAAACATATTGTATGAAATGTTGTCATTCCTGTAATACATTTTTCTTTATTTTTGAACCTCCATTGTCAGCATTTTATCAATGGGGTCTGTACATTTGTTAATACAGTTTAGAGTTAAATGTGTTCATAGTATGTGTATTCTCCTGCTAGCAATTCATCTTTATTAGGTGGTTTGATGTCAGATGATATTTCACATTTTTCTAATCCACTTCAATTGGATTCATGTGCCGGGATCAAATATTGTTAAAAGGTACATTAGTTCTTCAAGGTATTTCTAATACTGGTCTCAATGCAGGTGTCCATTTTGGTTTTGTAGAATCAAACTAACTGTGAGTGGGGCAGAGTTCTTCTGTGAAAGCTGAGGCCAATATATTCATAGTTAGACACCTGAATAAGCGATCACTTCCGAAAATCAGGCCACTTACTTAGGTGCCTAATATGGATAAAGGAATCTAAGTTTATGCATCTGTTCTTGAAAAACTTGGTCCAAACAATTATTGGTCTTCCAGAATAAATAAAAATATTTTAAAAATTATTTAAAGAAATAATGAGTAATTCTTTTTGTTAGTTTATAGAATTTTACTATTAAGTTTTCAGTTGCACAGAATTTAGTCTCATCTCCTAGTAAAACCAATGGGACTTGTGCCCCTATATCCTGGAACAATGACAATACAGGGTATTGCGCACCAAAGATTTCATTCTGTAGCAGCTCCACACATAGGACAGATGCAGAATCTGACCTGCAGTGTCATTCCTGTGTTCCTTTTTTCCTATAGGGCTTCAAACTGGGCTGACATCTTTTGATAGAATTGTGATTGATCTCCATCCCAAGCAGGACGTGGGTGGTCTGACCTAGTCGTCAGAACAGAAGTCAGGCTGGGTCAGATACCAGGAGGTCAGAGGGCAACCTGGGAGTCAGGAGGCAGGGTCAGGTTACCAGGAGATCAGGCAGTAGGAGCTGGTATTGCAGAAGATGCAGTCCTAAGCAAGGGAAACCGAGTCGCGTGGACAATTTCCTGTTCCTGCCATTAGTTTAAATAGAAACTGAGGACCAGTCAGGACCCCCAGCATTCCACCAATTAGATCCCAGGATAGGAGTCTTCTGTCAGAGTTCAGCTTCTATTCTGACAGCAGTTAGCAGATCACTGGTTGGTGGGTTGGAACTTATTAGCACCTAGGAGCCCAATGGGCTAGGGTTCAAGACCCACTGCCTCCAAAGCCACTACTAGAGAAAGGGAATGGAGGGTCTCCACAATCACCAAGAAGAAGTGGCTGAGAGGAGAGTGGCACAAAAGCCCCTTCCTACGGAGTATTTTTCCTTTCTCAGATTGTCTTGGAGTAGCCTAGTCTCACACTGCCTATTCCAACTCCTAGCTTTGTTTTTCAGAGGCTCCAACTGCATGTTTCACTACTGGAGTGACTTGCAGCCTCCTATCTGCAGGTGGCTTACCACAAAGGTGACCCACTTTCAAAACAGAAAACTGGGATGAACCCATTCATTCCTTAGCCTCTCTCCTGAGACTTCCAGTTAGTGTAGGTTTTAGTGGTGTTGGCAACTGTGAACAGTGTCACCTGGGAACAATGAGTGAGATCACCTATTGATTTTACATAAGGCACTGAACAACCATCAGATAACAACTTTATGGTCATTGCTAACCTGAATTGATTTGAATGAGCAACTTAAGAGGGTAAAGCTCCATGTCCCATTGAATCTAGAATCTTTGTTATATTTTCATTATAGTGTTTCAGATGAAATGCTTCTCCTAAATATAAATGGCGATGGTACTAGTCACCATTACATGTAAGTTGCTACCTGGTACTAAAATTATGCTTCATTATATTGTGTTAATTACAGTTTCAAGTGCATCACAGTTTGCAGGAATTATTCACTGGATCAGCCTAGTCATCCTGTCTGTGTTCTTTTCAGAGGTATGTATAATGCATGGTGAAATACAATTGATTTGGATGCAGGGCCCAGTCCTGCTTCCACTGATGTCAAAAGTGGGAATTTTGACGCTAGGAACAGGAGCAGGCACATGGTGTGTTTTAAAAAAGAAAATAAGTCAGCTTTTGTCATTCATATTTGGAAAACCAAAAGATCTTGTTTGTATTGACAGTCATTCTCTTTATTAAAGATAATTAGAATGGACCAGGAAAAATGGAAGAATGTTACCATACAAATATAAGAGCAAAGTTGTGAGGAGAGATAATTATATCTGTATCATCTCAAATCAGTCCCTTTTAAATTATGGGAAACGGACCTGGTTCTGAAGTTCTTATTCCAGGAAAGTTCTCATTGGCCTCAATAGGAATCTTGCTGGAATAAGAAATCCAAGACTTCATCTTATACAAAACTTGGTTCTGAATAAGAATGAATCATCTCCTTTCATAACTTACTTAAGCTGTTCTCTCTGTTTTTTCTAAAATATTTTCCTTACATCTATATTACTGCTGTATAAGAAAGTAATTAAATACAGCAAATTAGATACAAAGTAAGAATGAACAATGGTGAATTTCTGTGCAAATGTGTATTGGTACCATAACTGAATAAATTAATTCATTGGAAAAGCCCATATTGATAATACAATAAATGACTAAATTGAAATAACTGACTATAGTTTGCAACTTTATTCCAAAAAATGTCATCTGTGCTGAAATATTAACAATATATCTAAAGTGCTTCCAAAACAGCAATTTGGATTATTCCTCCAGGACATGCTACGCATATTGTTACAAAAATCCTGTTACGTGGTTGTGTGTTTTTAAATTACGCCAACATCCATGCCATGCCAGAAGATTCCCTGGAATATCTACATACCTGAAGAATATTTTTCTAGTTTCGCTAGGGGAAAGGATTTGCTTCCAAATAAAACAGAAGTTAGAGGCTGCACCTAAGAGTTCAGTTTAGCTTAAGGTTATGAGTATTCGCCTTAGAAGAAGCAGGAGCCTTGATAGTTATAGCTGATGCTGGAAACCACTCTTGTTGGACATATAGTTAGTTATATTACACAGCCATTTATTTCTATGGTTCTATTAATGGATTTAAAAAATCATACCAAATTTAAGCAATGAATACACACAACCCTAAACCGTATACTTTTGCTCCCAACCTCCAAATCCCGAGTCCGAACCTTTCCTACTGATTATGGTTCAGAAATAAATAAATATTAAGATAAACTTATTTTGAATATGATAGGCAAAGTTGTTTAGCTACCCTCCATCCCATTTTGTGTCTGTATTGCATTTTTTCTTCTCTCTGTGTTTAGGACAATATGAGTATTGGGAGTGAATCTCCCTTCACTGCATTTAGTACCCCTTGTTCTAATTCTGTTAGCACCCACTTTGCAGTTTGCTTCCGTCTTTCCAAATTGATGAATTTCATTCACCCGTTTGACCGTAGTTTGAATTTACATTTAAAAAAAATTCACCAATAATGATATAAAATAGCCATATGAGGAGCACAACGCAGCTAGGATTTTTGGAGTTCGTTTCATCAATCAAGCCTTTGGAAATTTTTAAGAGTCATAGACTGGGCTAATAATAGCTGCAAACATCATGTACTTCACCACTGTGACAGAATCAGCTCCACAGACCACCTGAAAGCACTTGGCAAACCATAGATTGAGAACCACTGAGGAAGGGGAAGAGTGAATTTTTCACCTTTGCTGCTGCTATTGTTTTGCTGGAGATAGTTTTCTACAACATTGGATTAACAGAGCAGCAACATTTCTGTTTACATTGTGATGATTGTCATCAAAATAGAATAGAGAAACTTATTTTTCTCATCTAAAATATTGTCCAATGCTCCAGAAATTGCAGGCCCTGAAAGAGGCAGATGATCTCTTACAGCATTTTCATTACATTTATTTATTTCCTGTTCCTGATGTAACAGATTTGTCTTTGTTTGGGGTGGGTAGGAAAGAATTTTGCTCTGTGTTTCAGTGAGACTTTTACAATCATTCACTGTTCAGACCAGGCTGGGCAGAAAGATAGTATAATGATTTCACAAAGAGGGTAGGGCTTTTCATTTGATTGATCAAACCTTATCAGATGCCTGTTGAATATGATTGATCACTTATAATACTATTTTCCTCAAACCACACAAAGGCACTTGTGCTCAAAATTTGGAAAATTGTGATTGATAGAAATCTTTAGTTGAAATGGATAACGTTTGCAACTTTAACTATAGTAGGTGCTATTAACACCCATTTTAATGTCTCATTACAGTTAAATAAGAGCTGGCTTTCTGCTTGATTGAAATGTAGTGGACAAATGTGGCAGGTACTTGTAGCTGCTAACAATATTAAGTTGCTACTCCTCCAGCTTTTCCTTCTATCTTTACACTTGTGCTATAGCCACAAGTCTTAACCTGAATTTACTGCATTGTGTTAATTTTATATTCTCCTCGTGTTAGTCTCCGAAGACTTTCCAACATATCACAATATCTTTTTTCAGTAACATGCATATAACTTTTTGCAAATGCTCAAATTAGATTTACTGGTTGTGATGCTTTGCCTGTTAGTCTCTGTTTACGTATGTCAAGCCCGTACACCAAACAATACCCAGATGTTAAGACAGAAGAGGAGATAGAATGTCAGAGGGATAAAAAAACAAAAGCAGCAGTCAAGGCTAATTCAGGATTGCACCGTATCAAGAAGGTAAAACCAGCCCTGAGAAAAGGATGAGAAAAGGCAAACAGAGAACTTGGCATTGACTTTGGTAAGTGGCGTGGGGTCTGAATATATTTTAATAATCTTATGACATTGGTATTAGGGCCAGATTCTGCAGCGCTCACTCACTGCAGTTGTTCCATTGAAGATACTGGGACTATTCATGTGAGAGAGGCCTGCGGGTGTGGGCTTTTTTAGCCTGTAGTACTCTGCTGTTGCATGCTGCTTTATATAGGCCCAATTCAGCACAGCACTTAAGCACTCTACTGACCTTAGTCGCAGGAGTAGTCCCATTGAAGTCAACAGGACTGTTCCCATGCTTAAAATTAAGTACACACTGAATCCGGGTCTTTTTTTCCCCCAAAGGTTTTGGAATGGGAAAGCATTCAGCAGGGTTTGGGGTTCCAATAGTTAAGGTGTTAATTGTCTGGGTTTTTTAAGTTTGAGTTAAAATGTATTAATTGACTTGTCGCATTAAGAAGAGAAAGAAGACAAAATGAAACATATCACTCAAATTACATATAAACAAAAAATATTCATTGTAGTCTCTCATACTTGTATTCCTCCTTCATAACAATCTCTAGGAAGATTTAAACATCTGAGAGGAGAGTCCTACAGAATTTAATTAGAATTAAGCCAATATGGTTCTGTAGACGTTACTGGGAAAAAAACCTATAGAATTTAATAGAAAGGATATTATTTTCTGTATGTTTTTTCTAAAGAATCCTATAGTAGTAATATAATTCTCTATTAAATTCTGTAGCATGTTTCAAGCAACCTACCAGTATAGAAAGATTAGAATTTAATAGAAAAGTATATGATTCTTCCATAATGAACTGGAACTTTACCTTTCTGAATGTTTTCCTCCATTCCCTATGCATACTAGTTTTATTATCGTAGGATTCCTTAAGTGTGCTGGATTGCTGGCCATGTATGTGTATTGGGGGAGTTGTTAAGAAGAATTGATATCGACAGCATTTGGTTTTGGGAACAGGTGATGCAGAGGAAAACCTAGAAAAAATTACATGGATTTTATAAACGGATATAAAAAAATTAGTTAAACTTTGGCTGTGGAGTCTTTGATAGAGTCCAGAAGTTTAACTTCTAATGTTTTGTAAATCTAGCTCTGCTCAGCCATCCAACTTTGTAGCTTACACACCAAGGTGGATTCAGGAGAGCATAGAATTTTATGGAGGGATGGGACTTTAGCACAAAGCCTTCCTAAAATTTCATCCCTCTTATCTCAGCCCCTTTTTCTCAAGAACATTTCTGACCCATGCAGTGTGCTATACTGGTGCTACAGCTGGACTCTCTTCAGGCTTCATTTCTTGTTGCTGATGAGATCCCTACACCTTCTACACCATGCACCAGGGATGTAGATAAAATCCCTAGTCCAAACGTGACCAGAAGGAACTTCTGATGTAGGAAAGCCAAAGACTAAGTTTGTATCAAATTTATATTTGCCTCATGGTAGCGTGCTGTGCAGCAAATAGGTCACTGAGCCATATCCGTAAAACACTTCTGAATCTAGAATTCTGGGTTTAGAATCCATTTTCATTCTCAATGACTATATTCTAAGGACAAATTTGGTACAATACATGTTACAGGAATGTTTGTCTGAATGCACCTGTAGAATTTAGATACTATGTAATATAGTACCAAAAAAATTGATGTTTGCTAGTGTTAGAGAATTTAGGTGTTTATGCCTGCAATCTTGGTGTCACTCTGCTATTGCAGTTAAGTATTATTAATTATTGTGGATATATTGTACAGTAGAACCACAACAATTATAATGCAGAGCACGTGGAAAATATTTTGTACTAGTTTAATAATGTGTGAGATGTAGTCAACTGTTACCCTTTTCTTTCTTTTTCCTTGTAGAAGTTTGACTGAGGAGAAGCTGAATGAGAAGATACCCATGTGTTAGAACCCTGAGTGTCAGGTTAAAGATGATAACATATCCCTGCTTCTCCAGTGGTATGGGAATGGTAGGTACTAATACTTGGGGAAGCACTTCTAAGAACTGTCAGCCCATAAAAAGGTAAATTAGAACACTTCTAAACAGTGTTTGAAATGAGTAATTTGTGGGATGACCTGGGTTGCAGGAGATAAAACTCTCATAGATGAGTACAAGGTATTCTTCTTGGGGAAGGTTTACTCCAGGTATTTTGAGTAATCTGGTGCATTGCAAAACAAAAGTTTGCTTTTCAGAGTAATTATGCCAGCAAACAATAAATGCTGCGGCGTGGGGGAAGGGACAGGGGAGAGCTACACCAGGGATTGGAAAGATTGTCCCTTCCCCCACACTCCCCTGTCTTCCATTTTCCCCTTTCAGGACAAACAGTACTGCTGAGCTAAATAGAGTACTCTCCTTTACCTAAACCTAATGGGCCAAATACACCCCTTTACTCACTCTTTTGGTTTCTTTACTCTAGGGATTAATATGACCCAGTGAGTCACAGAATAATAAATTGTATATTAACCGTGCAAGGAATAAAGTATGTAATAAAAGTATTGAGTGTACATTCACAGTAGGCTAACTCATGCAAATTGTGGGAATTCACATGGCTGGCTCAGCAAAGACCTCGGCCAAGTTTCCCTACCAAATTAGATAGAAAAACTGTAGTACCACTGCAGAGAGCTAATTCTCTTTACTTGACAATAGTAGGCCACTTTGTTAAGGGGACACTATCAACTACTACGTTTCTGTCTGAAAACTGTGTACTTTTTTTTAGTAACACCTAAGATTACTGTAATGAAAATAATTTACTAAAAATAATTTTCCTGTTTTTCTTTGTGCATTTAATAACACTTTTTGTGTAATCAGTTATTCAGTTTCTCTCTTGATGAAAAGACATTTACAAACATTAGAGGTAAAAACATTTGTAAAGTTTGGGGATTTTTAATGATTTTTTTTATAATAAATTCAGAGTGTTCTATTTAAAAGATGCTGTATCACAAACTGAATATCCATACATTTTTCAATTTTAAATAATTCAAGTTGACACTGCCCCTTTAAGCCAAAAGGTAATATGTACAAGTGTATTAGATGCTTGTATTCAAGTTTACACATCAAAATTGCAATGTAGCATGACAGCTGCATTGTTAAACAGAACATCTACAGGTACACATTTACTATAATGCTAGAAAATGTCTATACATAAATAACAGAATAACACCACTTCTTATTTTTGCCTTTTTCTTACAGAGACCAGTTTAAGTGGCATTGTATCATATTGCTAGAGTTCATGCTTAAACTTTGGTAAATATTATAATCACAATTCAGTTTTAATTCATTTACATTTTCATTGTGCAAATAAGATGTTCTAATCATTATTCTCCTTTGTCTTTCAGATCCTGCCACAGATTCTGTTTTTAAATGCACTGTACAAATATATCACATTAAATATATTTTTGTTTGCCCAAGAAATACGTTTGATTGTTTGGGGGGGAAATTAATATGTTATTTGTAAGTAACACCAACATTTTTTTATTCCAGTATTTTTCTATTTATCATTAACTTGACAGGTTCAAAATACCATATATGGAAATTTGTCTAATGAAGCTCTTTTGAGTGTAGAAGTTCTCAAAAACAACCATGGAAGCGTGTTGCCAACATGTGTTCTTTGTAAAGGCCAGGGGTTAGTGAGAGAGGGTGATATTAGCTTGGAATTACATTCATAAGCATTGGCTGATGTGTACCAAGAACACTGCAGGTGTATCTTGGGATACACACAGTGTTTAAGACACATTAACCATGCCCTCCTACCTATATCTCCACAGAGCAGAAAATGAATGCATGATTAAAAAGACCTCTGTACAATTTTTTAAATTAACATGTTAATGAATGTTCTGTTGATGAAAGGTGCAGCCCTGAAGACTGAAGACATCTGTCCACAGAACAAGCAGCTGTCAGGCTTGTTTACAGGAGCCCTCCCATGTGTCTGTATTCTATTCTGGAGACTCTGCCTCTAGGTTGAGAGGCTGGTGCAGACTTCATGGTTGCTGATTGTGAGGGTGGTTTTCCATGAGGTGGATACCTGTCATCTAGAAACTGGACCGAGACCCACCAGTTCATTCCACATACACCACGAAACAGCGGTCAAATAATTATTTTCAATCATTGCTGACTTGCACTGATTCACAGCAGCAAAATAGAGGTTAAAAGCCTTTGTTACTGGCTACCCCGTAAAATGAGCTAGCCAGACTCCTTAAAATGACAGTATTGCAGCCTGATTAAAATATTGCGGAGAGGACTTAAAGAAGCAGCTACATTGTGTGGGGAAATGTTATGCCCCCTAAATAGAGAGTTTCAGACAACCTATATTCAGGGTTGTGAGCTAAAGAGTTGTGCTGTTTATTCTCTTTGTAGTGGATATACCTTATTATTCCAAAGATAAAATGTCTTTGTGCATTCTCTGTCCATGGCAAAAATAAGTGCATTTCATAAGCAGTTTCTGAGTATATGCTAACTATTTAGCATTCCTCCAATTGCTCATTAACTTAGCATTTCACAAATACTGTCTAAGCATAGGACAAAATGGGCCAAACTCATCCCTCATGTCGCTCCATTTAAGTCAATGGAGTGGCAACAGGGAAGAGTATGTCCCAAGATTTAAATGAAGGAATGTTTCCTTTTAAGTTTCCTATTAACAGCCTGCTGCAGAATTTACTTTGCCTGGCTTTTAGCTTACTTGCTGAAACCTTCTTTGCAAATTCTTGATCAGAAGCTCAGCAGATTTTTACAGGAAAAACAAATCTTCCATTATAGACATGCCTTCCAGGATTTGATTCTGTTTCTGGAAAGGAGCTGGTCGGGTCAGGGATTTTGAATATGATTTTCTGGTTTTTCAAATCCTTGTTTTTTTGGAGCAAGGACTGAGAACTCTGACACTTATAGGAATGTCAACCAATGTGTGTTTTCAATGGGAATGCTGTGTAATGAAAATGCTGTAAGTGTAGGACTATTCAGATGTCCTAAGGGCCTGATCTTGAGATTTGCTGAGCACCTGCAACTCCAGTTGATTTCAGCTCAGGATTTGAATTTACTCCCGTGTTCATGCTCCCACATAATATTGGTGAGTATGGAATTATTAGAGGAGCTATTCCTTAGCTGCAACCTTAAAATGTTATGAAGTTCTTTCTGCCAATTGAACAGTTGCAGTCTTGCCCCACAGGCAGCTGTGTAACAGGTTAATGTAGTGACCCCTGTGAATGCTTTATCAGTTTGCTAAATTTGTTAATCATTTTGGGATCCTTCAGATGAAAAGGTATTTTATATATGTAAGTTTATCAGCAGCAGCATTGGTTCCTGATGGCAGTTCAAGGACCCACAACACTTCTCAAAGGGGAAAAGGGTAATCGCACTAATTATCCTGACTGGCATACCCCCTCTCAATAAAACAGACTCAGATGTCCAATGCTGTGTGTGAGCTATTTTTAAGTGCACATTAGCTGATCCATTTGCCTGCGTAGGCACTGAACTACTGGTATTGTTCTTTTAAAAACTCTGGGCTTGATTCTGCAGTGCCTTGCAGCCAGTGTAGTCATTTATATCTGTGTAAAGTGAGTATAAAAGGCTACCCATCTGATTTGGAGCAGTTTCAACTCACTTTGTTCAGGTGAAAACTGCTACAGAAAGTGCAAGGCAGTGGATAATCAGGCTCTTGTGTATGAACAGTGTTATTTGGAAGAACCCAATGCTATTCTGTGTCTACGTTACAGTTATTGTGTTCAGAGTCTGTTAGCAGCATAAACCCAGAGTTTTTGGGTTTTTTTATATATTCGTATTTGGAATGAATAGAAGATATGTATATTCACAGCCATTTTCATTCTTTTTTCCTGCAAAATTCTGACTCCTTTCCTGGCCTGGGCACCTCTCTCACATATCTACCAAGCTCTCTCTGATTAATTATATTTTTAGATAGGCAGAATAATATTTTGGTGTATTTTACAAGCCACACATCTATGTTTTAATCCTCCTCTTGCATGTAAAGTACATTTTAATCTGAGTTCTGCACTGCCACAGGCAGAATGGCGCCCTAACTTTTGTGTGAGTGAAATTACACTAATTTTTAATTTTAATTCGATCTTTTAAAAACACCAACACGAGAAAAAATGTGAAAGATGCTGTTGGAATTTTCATAGGAATTTATCACTGTTTCATGGTATGTTCAGTTATTATTCCTCTTTTCTAACTAAATAGAAAACCTTACGCTGTTTGCTTAATAGCAAAAGTGGGTGCAGACATTTTCCTCCCTGCACTCAGACTCTCTGGGACTTTAAAATGAGAAAATGCTCCTTTGCTGTGGAGAGAGAGAAAAGCAGCCCAGGAGCATGTAGGGGATAATTGTCTTATTAATTCAAGGAGATTTCTGAATGAGTGTCATGCAAATTATAATAAATTGCTGTCTTTTTCTTAATATTTCTTGTTAGACTATTTTGAGAATTGTGGTTCTCGGTATATGGGATTATATTGAAAACAAAATAGAGGTAAGTAAAAGTACCACAACCAACACTGTTTGTATTTCAGCATGGCAAAGTAAAAATAATTACCTATTTCTGCAGTGTACTTTAGCTATAGGAATTGATGCATTTACACTCTCAGAGATTTATGCATGTTACTCCCTGCACACAAAGGTGAAATTAGATGCAAATTAAAACACTGTCCACAGTGGGAAGTATCAGACCGATGCTGGTTAGAACAGTGTTTTAAACACATTCGTTTCTTTCACAGTTTTAGTGTGATTTTGCTGACTGGTGTGGACAAGAATTTCTTTTTGAGAACCATGTGAGTCAAACTGTGATTATATAATCCCTGGTGACATTATAATGATAACAGAGTCTGAGGATCTGGTTAACAATATTATTGAGAGTTGTAGTGTAGATGAGGCCTAACCATGTTTCCATAATCAAGTTAAAACTAGAGCTGGTAGGAAAATTTTCATCAAAAAGAGTTTTTGTTGGAAAATGCTGCTTTAACAAAACCAAACATTTTCACTAAATCATATAGATTTCAACAAAAATTCATTTATGGAAAAAACTTCAAAAATGTTGAAACGTCACATTTTAATATGTTCAGAACTAAAACTTTAGATTTTTGTTGTTGTTTCAAAAAGACTTTTTGTTTAAAAAAAAAATTATTTGGCTTTTCCTCCCAATCCAGGGTAGGAAAAAAAAATCAAAATCTCAAAATTTCCATGGGGGAGAAAATCAGTTTTCCAACTGGTTCTAAGTAAAAAATTGGCCTCTCAGAGTTGGTAAAGACAACTCCCACCTGTTC